GAAAATCGTAAGAAAATGTTCAGTATAATAGCTGACATAAGATTGAATTCATGGAAATGTTGAGGGAATAATCAGAACAGGAAAATACCAGTGGCGTACACTCGATCGACCTACGAACGAATGGAGAACCTGACGAAAATGTACAAAACTGTTATGATTATTCAAAAACTATATCTACACAGGTAACTGTATGATTAATCAAAAACTGGAACTACACAGAAAACTGTATGATTATTGAAAAACTGTACATAGGATTGAATTCATACTAACATGGAAAGGTTGAGGGAATAGTTAGAAACAGGAAAATACCAGTGGCGTACACTCGATCGACCTACGAATGGTGTAATTGGATTTTCAGAAAACCTTCGACAAGGTTGCTATTATATAAACTTGAAAATTAACAGAGATTCTACTAGGTTAGGGCTAATGGCACCCTGTCGGGCAGCCATGGAGATCCTTAAAGCTCTGTGCTGTGAGATTTTTTCGTGTTGTAACCCCTTTTATTAAAGAATTGACAAGAGGCTTATAATATTCTCAGTTTGCTCAGCGAATAATTACTGGCGGTGGGTCAATAGTTAAATAAGTACAGAATGGCAAGGGCGCTACTGAATTTTTAAAAATAAATTAATAATTATATTACGTGAAATGTTAAAGTGTAAAAATTCAGAAACACACCTAAAAAAATTTATCAGCTAAATATAAGATACAAATAAGGCATACAACTCAACCAAATCTTGACATATGTGAACCAATAGAGAACTATAGGAAAATATACAAAACTGTATGATTATTCAAAAACTGTACCTATAATACATAGGAAACTATATGATTATTCAAAAACTGTACATACTGTAGAATACTGTAGTTGAACAATAACTTATTATATAAAGTCAGAATTTGTAAGATTATCCACTTTTTGTCAAATTGTCTTTTAACAGGAATTAGTAATGTTACTTCACCAAACTAGTATAACATAACATAACATAATGTGATAAGTTATTCAAGTACAAACGAGTGGATTGTTGCGGAACTTATGGGTGGACCTCTGCGGGACGAGCGCAGCGAGTTCCGCAGCCATCTATTCATCAATATGTTGTTTAATTACGATACTAACCTAACTCGCACAAGAGTGGGTTATTCTCATCCGTTTAAAAGCTACACGTTTCAGGTGAATGTCTTACTTGAATAGTTCAACAGTATATTGGTGAGTAGATGGCTGCGGAACTCACGCACCCATAAGTTCTGCAATAATCCACTTATTTGTAGGTACTTGAACAATAACTTATTATGTATAAAGTCAAAATTTGTAAGATTATCCACTTTTTGTCAATTTGCCTTTCAACAGGAATTAGTAATGTGACTTTACCAAGCCAGTAATGTATTGTGACAAGTTATCATTCAAGTACAAACGAGTGCATTATTGCGGAACTTATGGGTGGACCCAGCCATCTATTCACCAATATGTTATTCAAATACAATACTAACCTGATTCACTCAGTTGTGAATTTTTCTCATTAGTTCAAAAACTACACGTTCAGGTGAGTGTCTTATTTGAACAGTTCAACAGTATATTGGTGAGTAGATGGCTGCGGAACTCGCTGCCCTCGTCCCGCAGAGGACCACTCATAAGTTCCGCAATAATCCACTTATTTGTACAGTTTGTTTTTTTAAATATTGACACCCCACCTACAGCCTTTACCTTTACAGGTAGAAGAAAGGTGCAAATACAAAAGTTGTACGGTTTTAACTGAATTTTTAGAAACCATGATTAGAAACAAAATTAGAATGTCAGAAATGTAATATTCTGCATGCTTCTAGCATTTTTCAAATGGGATTCCCTATATTTTATTCTATATTCTTGAAGAGCGATCTATATTTGATTGATCTCTCATATATTCGACTACAAAAATTGTAAAAATACTATCCTACTACTGATTTTGTGAACCATTCTACCTGTATAGGTGAAAGTTGCAGGTAAAATTAGAGGTACTTGGTTTCTTTGATAGTATTTTTAAAATTTTTAGAACCAAATATGTTGGAGACAACTCAATTAAATATAGACAAACTATATAGTTTTGGAATCGGGAGATTGTGCTCTTCAGGAATATAGGACCAAATATAGCGCATCCTATATGAAAAAAGCTGAAAGCATGCAATATTTCACATTTCTGACATTCAATTTTTGTTTCTGACCATGGATTCTAAAAATTTAGCCAATACTGTACAACTTTTAAAGGCTGTAGGTGGGTGTCAATATTTAAAAAAACACCCTGTACCTACATAGGAAACTGTATGATTATTCAAAAACTCTTCATATTTATTCACCCTACACCTATTCAGGCTCCTTACCCTGTATAGGTGTAGGGTGTATGAATTTATTGGAATAGTGAGGTGTTATAAGTGTCATGGGTTCAACCATATGGCAAAAGATTGTAGGTACTGAAAAAAGAGCATGTCCAAGATGTAGTGGCATGTCCAGCATGCTCTATGGGATCGTTTATGTGTTTATTGAAAGTAGAAGAGTCACGTAAAAATAACATTAACTACATATGTAATAATCTCTCAGAAAATTAGCAATTAAAAATATAATGTCTGAATATACACAGTCTTTTAAACAAATTCGATGAAGTGAAAAAATACATAGTAGACACAAGAATCGGCATAGGACGTAGTTTCGCACGAGATAGATATTGTTAACTATTCTTGCATTATATGTGATTCAAGTACCACATACTGGCTCCGTTGTTTGTTTTGTACATAATCAATATATTTGCTAAAAGTGGGATTTTTTTATGCATTGAAGGAATTATGTGGCTTTGAGATTAAACCGAACATCTTTGTGGAAGTGTGTATAGATCACCTAATTTTAAAGCAGCTGACTTTTTTGCACATATTAATAAATTTCTTGAAGGTATTTCAATCAAGAATAAACAGGTTTATGTGACTATAGTGACCTGAACATTGACATGGCAAAAGCGTTTCTACAAAAAGACCAGTTGGTAAACTTAATGGCCTTAAACAGAATATACCCGAGTTACAAAAGATACAAAAAGTAGAATTGATGTTATATTTACAAATATTGCCACAACTGTGTTGCGAAGACCAAAATTAAGTGATCGGGATAATCATAAATAAGGTTCTACAGGAAACCAACTCACCTATTCCAGAATAGGCCATAATAAAAGAAAGGTTGAGTGCCACACATTCCAGACAATGCTTCAAACTCAGATGTGGTTGGAGGAAGGAAATGTTAATGAATTAACCAATGTGAATCTCATATTAGATAAAATAGCACCAGTGCAAGAAAAGAAGGGCAAGAACCAAAAAACTCCATGGATTGATGAAGAGGTAAAAACACAATTATAAGCGAAGATGGGTTGGATTAAACTTGGTATATACAGCAACGAAACACAGTCACTAACTCAATTAGAACAGAGAAAAGAGAACACTATGAACTTGTAATAGACCAGAACAGAAATGATGGCAAGGCAATATCTAATGTGGAAAAAATATAAAGGAATTAACGGCAATAAAAGAACTAACAAGGAAATTAATTATGTTGTACATAACAATAGAAAGATTATTTCAATAAGCGACATGGCAGAGACATTTAACAATTATTTCATTAACAGTATTGAAGATATTATCATCTCAAAATACTGGAGTGATCATGTTGAACATCATCAATAAGCCAGTAATAGAAAACATTTTTGAGTGAATTTAATGGCTTGAGTCTGATACAAAGAATCTTATAAAGAGAATTAAGAAACAGTCTTCTACTGATGACATCGATCTAGAAAGTCTCCAAAAGAAGGGAGATTTTTTAATTGGCAGAGTCACTGAAACATTAAATGTGTCAATTTCAGAGGCTTGATGATTTCAAAACTTCGGTAGTGAGCCCAATTCCTAAAATTACCAACACCAAAAACGTAGAAGAATTTAGGCCAATTAATATAGACCTTAAAGACCATTTGATGGTCAATTATATACTTATAGACAATCAGAGTGGATTTAGGGACAAACATTCATGTAAGATGTCCTTACATCTAGTAGTTTTTAAGTGGATAGAGCTTATAGACAGTGACAATAATGCAGTGACTGTTTTCCTCGATTTTAAACGGTAGATAGACAAATATTATTACAGGAGCTGGGGATAAGTAATAAAGCCTACAAATTGTTCGAAAACTACCTGTCAGGAAGATATTAGGTAACGAAAGTAAAAGGAATTTTGTGTGAAAAAAAGTTGATCAAATATGGAGTGCCCCAAAGTACATATAGGTAGGTACTGTGTTGGGACCAATACTGTTTTTGATCTACATCAATGATATATAGATGAATGTTTTTGTAAGGGTACTTTGGTACTTTAGCGTTCTAGAGATAATTTACGTGCAAAGTGTCAGTTTATCCAAGGACAGCCTGTAATACCTGTATACCTTATGTTTTTGATAATAAATTTTCATTATTTTCTTATTCCAGGTTCTTAATTTGATTAATTTTCCAATCTAGAGCAATAATTCAAGGATCCGGAGGAATTTGTTTTCATAAGGTTTCTCGGAACACTAATTTTCCCTTATAACAATATCAATTTTCACATAATAAAAACGATCGAAATCATATTGAAATCCGGTAACCGAATACTATAAGTCTCGTCACGCAGATTTACCACCAATTTATTGTATAGGGCATTTTACATGCATATCCTGAAATAAGTTTCGATATAAAAAAAGATTGACATACAATGTATTCTCCCAGCTTCAGGGGTGAAGCTGGCAACATCTTTCCAATCAGCTGATTTTTCAATACAACCCTTTTCCTACCTTTTCCAACATCTGTTACATTTTCCGCCTTTAAGCATTGAATCAATTTGAGTTTTCATATAAAAATTTATAAAATTTTTGATTATATTGTATCTAGGTACACTAAAATTTTTGCAAGGATATCTTTTGCGCAACCCCTAAAAAACCAGGCAAAACATGACACACTAAAAATCGGTCACTTACCCTTATTCCAACACCCTTCGACCCTTACCACAAACCAACTTAAGTCTAATAATCCCTTGTTAATCCCGCGCTAAAAAAAAAAAAAATACGCGCGTTCACCCGCCGAAAAACACTATTTCGAAAAATCTCGCTCTCTCTCCCTCGCCAACTTTCGTTAGTTTCAAAACAAACACTGTTCGGAGTGTTCGGTCGCGGTCCTTTCGAGCCGTCGCATTTCGGCCCTTGTTGCAATTTAAAGCCCCCGCTCGATGCTCGATGGGTGCGCGTCCCGGTAGGGCGCATTTTTATGTTTACCTTTCTTAGTTCGCACGTTGGATTTTTATAGGACGATGACCGGCGGATTTTTTTCAATTTTTACATTGGCAATTTGAAGCTGGATTTAGGATTCATAGGCTCGAGGTTCAGGCACGTTCGAGTTTTGGAGTTCGAGATGGAGGTTGAAGGCAAATTTTGCAATTTTTCAAATTTTGAATTCAAAATTTGATCAGACAAAGTTAGTTTTCTCAATCATTTTTGATGGTGGTAGCTTGATATTTTTTCATATTTCTTATAGTTATTTGACTATAATTTTTCCATTTTCTTTCTATTATCTACCTACTGATTTTATTACTTTCAACTTTTGTCTATTTCAGGAGCTAAGCTTTTAGATTATTGATTTTTTTAAACGAAAATATACAAAAATCTCATGTTCGAGGTAAAACATCAATTAGAGCCACAGAAACTCTATACATAATTTATTGTGGGATTTGAAGCCGAAATCTTAGAAAAAAAGACGTCAGGAAAATTCAAAAATTCACCCAAATTCCTTAACGCGACTTTTTCTCAGAAACTATAATTTATAAGTCCAAATGAGTTGAAATTTTCAGAGTTTGTAGACCTCTACTGAAATAAGAATCGTTGCCAATTTCAGCTTTCTATCTATAATAGAAAAAAAATTATGATTTTTCAAAGTTTTAAAAAATTCAAGTCCAAGACTTCCTTCCAAAATGGTAAAATTTCGTTTTTTTTTTTGGTGTGGAGTTTTAACTTTTGCTTTGCTCTAAAAAATTTAAAGATATTTTTAGAAAATATGGGATTATTATACACCAGAAAATCAACAGCTATGGGATTTTCACGCTATATGTAGGATGACGTCACATTTAGTAGGTTGATGATAGCTTTAAAATATTGAAATTTGGTTGAAATTTACGGGGGCCTATTTTCAATGTAAATTGTGCCTCCTTCCTGCTGCCAACCCAACCAAACTAAAGGCACTCTTTAACACATTTAAAGTAGGGGAATTTCAGATGTTTTTGGTTGGCAACAACGCGCAACTTAACGTATGTCGCTAAATGAGCATTAAAAATACCATATAAACATTTTCATTTCGTTATTTTTAGCTGTCGTCAGAATTATTGACACGTACATTCTGGTAAATTATAAGAAAAAAAATAGGCATCGACAACATTGTCTCTATCTTTGTTCGATGATGTCATCCCAAATATAACATAAAAAACCTATATACCTACTCCTGAACCAAATGGGAGGTAAGAGCGCATGAATAGAACATTAGTTGAAAAAGCTAGATGTTTGATGTCCAACCTTCAACTACCTGCACCGGTGTATAAAATTTACCATTTCTCCTAGAAGGGCGGTAAAAACCCTATCTGGTATCCCCCACTCATGCCCCTCGATGTAACCTACAACCTACGACCGATATGTTCACTAGGTGCTCAGACAGTTGCGCTTTGGTAGCTGGAAAGTTAGTTGGTTTATTGACAATTTCTTTCGTGCACTACACCAGACTGTAGTGCAAATGCGAGCATTCATGGGTTTGCTAATGTAATCTGGATATAAGAAACAAAATCCTATCCACTTTTTGGAACTCTGGACGACAGATTGTACCGGTTCTGTAATTTTTCCAGCATGTATAGGTTAATGACAAATCAGGACAAAATGTTTCGTTATCCCGCGTTATCCTTATACATTGATTTATGCACTCCACACATTCATAAATGTGGTGTAGCTACAGGAGATTCCAGAGCGCGGGCAGCTAAAGGTTAATGCTGGACTTGGCAAAGAAATCTGGGCAGAAGCTATTAATACTTCACTGTACTTGAGGAACAGGTCACTAACAGCTGGGTTGGAAGACAAGACCCCTTTTTAAATGTGGCACCATAGTAAACCAAATGTGAAGTTTTTGGGGGGTTTTCTTAGCAAGATCATGGTACATAGGTATATCAAAAGCAAAAAGAACTAAATGGGACAAGAAATCAGAAGAAATGGTTTTAGTAGGATACAGTGTGAAGTGACAAAGGAGTATAGAGTATACAGTCCAAATAGTCAGGAGATGTTGAAGTCAAGGAAGACATCCAGATGATGATAAATTCAGAAATACCACCTGAAGTGGGGGATAAATCAGAAAAAAACGACACAGAACACTCAGAAAATGACTCTGAAACTACTCATGGAGAAGAATTTGACAATTTGTTACCTGATAACTCTGGTTTGAAGGAGATGAACCAAAAGTTGACACTGTTAGGAGATTTATGAGAGGACATAAGCCAAAAAGTTTCGATGAATATGTAACTTTTTTGTCAGGAATATGTGATAAGTCTCCAAACAACGTCAGATTTGATCAAGATCCGACAACAGTTAGTGATGCATTATCCAGACCCGACACATCACGAATTTATAGGCGATTTCGCCTCAGTTTGGTACCCCAGTTTGGTCTGTCAAACAAGTACCAATCAATTTCGAATGGGAAAATGATGTTGTCAAGGCAATTAGGGAATCCAAACCACGTGACTTTTGCCAACCAGCCGGCATTTTGAAATTTTTATGAGGTTAGAATACGGGTTGTTACATGTCAACGATGTCAGAAAAGTGTCAGATTTGAGTACTGGCCCCGTGTATTGATAAAGCCTAGTACGCATAACCGCGAAATTTGCTCTTTTTTGATATTGGTTCGACAATTTGACGTTTGATTCACGCGTAAAACTTCAAATTGTCGAAGCAATGTCAAAAAAGAGCGAATTTCACTGTTATGATTACTAGGCTTAATCCTGTCAAAGAAAAAACATATGTTTTTTGTTTATTGTTTGCCAACCAGACGCCATTTGGACAGGTCGTAGGATTTCCTAATTTTGGTAGGCGCTTTGGTCTGTCAGATGCTATACCGAGGTTTGACTGGGTAGTGGAGGTTTGGTAGCTTTTTGTTCCTTTTTGTCTCATGTCCAAATAAACATGTCAAAGTCAAAATGTACCAAACGCCATACCCACTGAATTCGGATGAGATTGTTGAGCTACGTCACTTATGTACCAATTGGTTAACCATTCGCCTATCAAACAGCAAATGAAAATCTGAGGCTAAATCGCTTTATGTCATTTGATGAAAATGACGCATAGGACATTGTAGACATACCGGATAATGGTAGTGTTGTGGACTGCAAGTGGAATTTTAAGCGTAAAAGTGGAAAGTGATGGCTCGGTGCGTTATAGAGCCCGACTTGTTGCAAGAGAATTTACCCAGATACCTGGCGTGGAAATGGGGGTGTTGAAGTGTTCTTAAAATTGTCGTATTTACGCTATTTATGTTATGCTGATAATCTCTATTATTATTATTGGCAACACTGGAGTATTGTAACCCTGTTTTCACTTTCTAAAAAACATCAGACGTCATTTGTCCTAAGCTTCCGAACGATCCACGTTGTTGTTTTATTAGGTACCGTTAAATGAAGATATGGATGTAGAATGCAGAATAAATAGAAATTAAACTAATAATCAAAACAACGACCGATGTAGTGAAACTGATCCTATGCAACAATTTATTTACGATGATTCTGTCTGATGCTGAGAATCTTGATGGGACACCTGTAACACCATTAAGAAATCTGGGACGATGGAAGTTGTAGAAAATATAACTGACTATGCTTCAAGCCGACCAAAATGTCTAGAGAAGCTTCCTGCCTTTTGAAATATCCTATACATGTCCTATACTTTATACCTTTATTATTTGTCAACCTTGACAGTCTTTCAATGTAAGCTATATGCTCTGTATAGTAAGATTCTGAGTACCATTAAAGCCTATATTCTAGATTCTAGCAGCACAGTTAAATAAAATAACAAAAATTAATAATTATTTATTTGTTATTTTACAATTTTAAGTACGCCTCTGCACCAAAAGTATTTTTGATAGTTATTATTGTTGTGTCAGAAATTTAGAATAGTTTTGGATCTGATTATGTTTAGCAGTTGGCAGTTGACGTTTGTAAGTTGTCAGATGGCTGATGAACAATAAAGCACAAGTATTCAGTTCAAACAATTTGTATTCATTAAAAAGTGAAAGTAATAAGTAAAAAGTTAAAGTAAAACTCAACAGGTTATGGGCCCAAGCAGTCCAAACCATCGAAAAAAAGTAAAATCTGCTTGAGAGTAAAATCACTAAAATCGGTAAAAAAATACATAAAAAGTTTGGTTAAAAATAAGGAAGGTGTGTTCAATAGTGTTCAAAATGGCGGCAGAATATCAACAAATTGAAAAATTAATAAACGAAGAATCATTTCAAATATGGAATTTTCAGTTAACAGTAATGTTAAAAGTAAACTCTTTGTATGAAATAATAAGTAAAGAAAGTTTTTTCTCAGACATGAAAAATGAAGAGGAAAGAAATGCATGGAGAAAGAGAGATGCGAAAGCACAGAAACTAATAGGTTATGTCTGTGAATAAGAAAAATATCATGCACATTGCACATTATCAATTGTACAAACTCCAGTGAAATGTATGATAAACTAAAAAATATCTTTGAAAAAGCGACACAAGATCAAGTAGGTATGTAATTTATTACAGCAGTTTTATAACTTAAGATATGAAAAAGGATGTGACATGTCACTTCACATAAGTAAGTAGAATTGAGAATTTGGCATCACCGCTCAGGAATCCATCACAGTAACTGAACGAACATTGACAAACTTGTAACAAGACTTTTGTCACGAGAAAGTCGTAGAGAAGAGAAAGAAAGTGAAAGAGCTGTAGTTTTTAGAAGCACAGAAAAATGTTGCCACAAGTGCGAAAGTAAAAATCATATAGACAAGAATTGTAAGAAATAATCTGAAAGTGAAAAATGCTTCAAGTATGGAAAATCAGGGCATTATGCTAAAAATTATTTCTCAGGATCAAGGGCAGTACAGTGTAATATTTGCAAAAAAAAAAATCATGAATAAAAAGATTGTTT